CTGCTACTAGTACTGCTGCTACTGCTGCTGCTGCTGCTGCTACTACTACTACTACTACTACTACTCCTACCAACCACACTTCTTCGTTGTCATCAACATCATCACGAACAATCAAACACATGTCATCACCTTTCATCACCAACAGTACTGTAAATACCGAATAAAAGCTGGGTTGTGTGCTCACGAAAAGGCAAACACATTTCATCACCAACAACACCAACAGCAAACACATTTCATCACCAGCATCACGAAAAATCAAACACATTCCATCACTTTCATCACCAAAAGCACTGTAAATACGGAGTAAAAGAGGGGTTGAGTGCGAAAGTACTGTAAATGCCGAGAAAAACCTTTCCCCCCACCCAATTTCGAGTTTTCGCTGCAAGCCGCTCGAGACTCAAAGTTTAAGACGCACAGTCCGGAAGCAGGGTGGCAACCATATAAGAAAGTAGGACATCACGAAAGAACTGTAAATACCGAGTAAAACGGCTCTTGTGGTGATATTGTTGGTTGTGTTTGCAATGCACTGTCGTCATCATCCCTCATTCCACCCCTCCCGCCCCCCACAGAAGCAAGTCCAAAATCAAGAGGCCGAGTTTGCAAACTCGGCAAGTCGATTTTGAGGCTTCTTATGATGATCGTACATGGCGCAGGTGCTGTAAATAACGAGAAAACGGATGTGCTCTTAAGATGATTTAGAGCAAGCAAGTGTAGTCGGTAGGGGGGGGACGCCTACTACTACTACTACTACTACTACTACTACTACTACTACTATTACAATAACTACTACTGTTAAGACTATGATCATTGTTATTAGCACATATATATATATATATGTCATAGATACATACACACAAGAAACCCCATTTTTGGCTCCCACATGGCAACGTCAGCACGCCGACCCTGCATCGCAGGTATCATGTCCTCAGCGACCTACTCCAAGCGGCAAAAGCACCACTGTCAGGTAGGATGAAACCCAAGACAGCATGCAAGGGCAGGCGTAGCACTTTATGCCACTAGCACAGTACAAACGTACCAGTCAGTTGACTACAAAAGGTTCCTACAGCCGCATTCTCAACGACAGCTTTGCAAGACTTCGTCACTGTCAGCCTGCGCACAGCGACCAGAAGGCCCAGGGCGGCGCTCACATGCAGAGGAAGACACCCCAGAGCTTTCATGCAGCTGTCAAAGGCTCCCTAGGGCTTGGATCAGCACAAGAAACCCCATATTGAATAATATTGAATTCGAAATATCATAAGTGGAGACAAGAATATTATTGTTATTCATCGCCATCACCATCCTCATCCTCATCTTCATCTTCATCATCCAATACTCCCATATCCGGACCCGGCTCGCTTTAAGGGAGGCCGAGAGTCTGCGCCAGGTCTATCTTCCAAGCGGACCTGCCATCTTCCCTTGCCCTTGTCGAAGGAAATGCAGTTTCCGATCCTGGGCATCTCGCACGGTGTTTTTGCAAGGAGGCACTAGATCAAGATCCATCTGGGCCGGGGGGTCGAGGCCTAGTCACGCTAGTATCAACCTCAAGCTACATCACCGACTTCGATGAAGGTGGAAGGTGACACATGCAGTTCCTTTACACGCTTGGGCTTGCAACCGCAATGTCCCTGATGTTGCTGCAGCAGGTTTCACTTTCGCGAAAAGGGGCCGGAGACGAGGAGCCACTCTGGCCCCAGCTATACAGCAGTAAGTCAACCGACGAAGCTGGGAATTTACTGCGGCCTCCACGAACATGACTAAATTCCACCAAAGTTCATGCCGTTGAGCTCGGGCTTTGCCTTAAGCCCGTAAAGACGGACAAGGACACCTGTCATGTCGCAGCACTGAACGCAAAGTTGCGTGCACTCTACCCATGGAGTCACCTGGCCTGGAGACAGCGCCTGAGCGCCACCGGCCCAGCCACCGAACCTGATTGCAAGAAAGGGAGCGATCGATCAAAGGACGGGCCACAGGCATAATATGAGCTTCAATGAACACCAGCGAAGCGCATCGGACCCAGGGCAATCAGCTGCGCAGAAAGAATGAACGGGACATAGACAGTTTCTGTTGCAGCTGACCAGAGACTGACAGACTCGTTGCCAGACTTCCGGCTCATGAGCCCAAAACCCCTACACCCTAAACCGTCTTTGCATCTCTGGACGCTTGATGGGGCTGCGGTGCACCGCTCTGAACCCTCAACCCCTGAGCCCTAAACCCAACAGTAGAGCCAAGGGCGCATTCCCCGACCAAAGCCGCCGCGGCCACCGCCGTTGAGGCCACGAGCTCCAAGGCCACCTCGGCCAAGCCTTCGCTCGCATTGAAAACGTTTGTTATTACCATTGTTATTGCGATTATGAAGCTTGGCAATCATATTGTGTCGTGTTTCCACTATCCCTGTTACCGTTACTGTTAGCATCAGCACTGTTATTGCTTATGCTCATGGCTACTAGTACTATGATCACTACTACTGTTGCGACAAAATAAACTCAATACTAAAAAACTCTATCATGAGTATCGTTCGGATGTGTATTCCTACTTTTGCCTTCGTGTTTGCCATTGCCATTGCCATTGCCACTGCTACTGCTACTGCTGCTGCTACAACAACAACAACTACTTCTACTGCTACTACTGTTGTTCTTCTTTGCATTACGGTTCTAGTAGTACTAGTATCATTGTTACCATCATTACTACTACCAATACTTTCAGTATTGTTGTTATTAGCATTACGCCACGCTTGCTATTACTATTGCTTAGTATTGCCAGTGCTGCGGAGGTTTAGTGGCTTCGAGAGTTTCGGGTTCACAGGGCTGCCGTCTCGCAGGCTTGGTATAAGCTGAGCGAAGTTCAATGAATTTCGGTGAACCCATAATGTAGGGCCTGAATACTTAGAATAGGGTTTGGGGGTATACTTTTCTATAAATATAAAAAGGAACCCTCAAGACCATTTTCTAATTATTAGGGGCCCTATATTAACCCCGCACGAGCAAGAACTCGATGCAATCCGTCTGTCCGTGCAAAGTGCCCCGCGACAGCGACTGCGTTCACCGTTTCTCATCCCCAATTTCCCCCCGGACCCACATCGTACGTATTCCCGAGATGCCTCCTGCGTTTTGCGAAAACAGCGACATCAAGGAGGCTAAACCTAGAATGGGGCCCTGGTAGGGGTTGGAGGGCAAGCAGCATTACAGTGAGAAAGGGAGTCACAGTCAGAAAGAGGGGGCATGTATGTCCATGCTTTCTTCATCAGGCCTCTGATAATTCTCGACATTACCCGGAGCCCGCCAAGGTGCTGCCAGCTCCCGAAGCCTCCGCCGAGGCCACGTCCCCGGCCCTTTCCTGAGAGCTTCTTAGAGGCTGAATTTAGTTGCCGAAACACCAGCCCCTGAGGCTTCTGGAGGTCGACGGGGCAAAGTGGCAACAATGGGCATCATCATCATAATCATCATCATCATCAGATAATAGATGCATGTTCTGCATGCAATCACCGGCCGGCACAGGAAATGCCTGGAATCCTCTTCTGTGTCGGCTTGTTTTATGGTTGGAGATTTAGGTCGAGTATCTGCATCTCGACATTGACATGCATCTGTGGCGACTGGTCTGGTCCTTTGCGATCGTTGCCTTCGTGCATGGTTACTGCGCTCTCTGCTGTAGCAGCTTCGGAGTCCGAGCCATGAGGGTCTGAACTTCCGAACTTATGAGGTCACTGCTGGGCATCCTCGGCATCCCGACATCCGAACGGATGGCGCAGGCATCTCCGAGGAGTTCCCAAAAACCAAAGGCACTTCCGAAATTTACCGCGAAAGCCTTGCCACCACGACCGTAGTAGAGACAACCCTGTTTAAGGAACCCGACAAACGATGTTTGTTACAAGTTTGTTGTGATTAATTAGCTGTTAAGACAAGTCAATAAACATATATATATATATATATACTAAGTCTCTGTGTATGTAAGTATGTAGGTATGTAGGTATGTAAGTATGTAAGCATGTAGGCATGTAAGTAAGTATGTATGTATGTATGTATATATATATATATATATGCATGTATATATATACACACACATATTTAAAGCCAAGCGGCCGAGGCCCGCGTTGGGACCAAGCCCAAGGCCTCTGCAAGGAGGAAGATGTTAGCCAATGGAAGCACGGCAGGGCAGGGTGTCAACGGGCAGGACATGTAACTGCCTTGCTTCACAGAAGGAGGGGGCCTGGACAGAATTTTCGAATTGTCTCGTTAAGAGCTCGAATCCGGCTCTGAGCCTCGAGGCACTCGTGTAGCCGCAGGTCATGGCAGCCGCAAGCTTGAAACATCACAGTCACCAGCATCAGTAATAGCAACGCGGCCATTGCCAGACCGTCGTTGTCGTTTACCACCAACACCCTCAACCTGACCTTGGCCATCACCACCACAGCGATCGTCGTCTTCACCATCACTGCCCTCACCTTCAACAAGAATGTCGTGACCAACACCACCCTCGCCAGCTAGGAAGTAGGTGATGGCAGCGACGGCAACTTTGCGCAGGAGTGGCCGGAATCCCCCTTTGCGGCTGTGGGCTCCCTCCCCTAGTCTCCCAACTTCTCCTGGATCCTTTCAGCAAGCGCTTGGATTGTATCAGGATTGTATCCCAGCAAACAGCCCCGAAGCGTAGGAACAACAGCCGAACAGTTCCTCGACCCTCTGCACTTGCTGCCGGGCCGAGGCGGACGCGAAGCGCTAACACTTAATATAATCCATAAACATCCTAGGGTTTAGGGTTTAGGGGTTTAGGGTTTAGGGTTGTTTGGGGTGACCAGTTTTGTTGAGCACAACCCTATTCCGGCCTTCGGAAGGATCTGCCTGGCCGGCTGCACGTGCCCTCGCGCGGGCCTCATCTGTTAGATAATTAACAAGACGTAGAGATACGAGTATCTAGATGGATAGGTGTATGTGTGTGTGCATATATATATATATATCGATCGAGATATAGATCTAGATCTAGATATAGGTATAGATCTACTAGGAGTTAGGGCTGCTGTTGGGTCTTGCCGGGCATTTTGTTAACAGGGTTCCCGATTCCCGCAGCGCCTGCTCGCTCCTTCCTGAACCCTCAAACCCCTGAAGCCTCAAGCTTGCAGTAATTATTATGTAGTGTCTTTGTCTGCTCATTATAAACCCTAAGTCCCTAACTCCCTAAACCCCCAATAATTCGCCCCTAAAGCTTCAAACTTGGACTGACAAACTAGTGTTGTTGGGGCGACTCACCCAGGCAATGCCAGCTGCAAAACTAGGTGTCCCAGATAGAGGGGATGTGCTTGTCCATCATGGTCTGAAATTTCTCTGCGCAGGTGCGTGGATAAATAGATGTGTAAAGTGTGTAAAGGTATGTAGACACAAAAAGACATATGTGTTGAACTATATTGATGTAGTACACCGTCGCTGGCTCTGTTAGACTGTCTCGCCGAAGACAAGGGCAGAAGCACTCCGAAAGCCAACATCATCATGCGCGTAGTCACAATTTCATCATCACATCAACAATAGCACCACACGAAGATTTAATTAATGTAGTCAATACCATCAGTGGCAATTGATTACAATACGCGTTCAACGTGGCTAGGGCCAGATGTATGTCACACATTTTGTATGTATGTGTGTATACATGTACATAAAGACAGAGAGAGAGAGAGAAAGAGAGAGAGATAGAGAGAGAGAAAGAGAGAGAGAGAGAGAGAGAAACAAAAATGACACACACACACACGCAAGCAAGCAAGCAAGCAAGCAAGCAAGCAAGCAAGCAAGCAAGCAAGCAAGCAAGCAAGCAA